CAAAATCCTCTCTCCTGGTTCCCCTGCTCTGCTTCAAAACAGACCGCATTCCACCTCTGCCCTTCAGGCCTTTGCTGCTGGAGTAGGTCACCTTGGGCTGGCACGCCCTCGTCGGCTCTCTTAAAAACGCTGCCAGGGACAGGCCTTTGGCAAAGAGGTTAAACCGCCGCCTGCAGCGCCTCCATCCCTTACTGGAGTCCCTCGCTCCAGATTCCTGCTTCCTGCTAATGAGCACCCTGGGAAGCAGTGGAGAATGGCTTCAAGTGCTTGGGTACCTGCCACCCACGTGGGGAGACCCCACAGAGATCCTGGGTGTGGTTGTTATGAGCATTTGGGGAGTGAACCAATGGACAGGGGGGCGTTTGCTCTCTCTCCCTCCTCCATCTCTCTCTGCCTTTCAAGTGGAAAAGAAAACAAAACACTGTTCAGACGTCACTGCCTCTGGACTGAGGCACTCCCCGACTGAACTGCCCCTTTGCAGCTCCTGGGCGAGCCCAGGCGGGCCTTAATAACCTCAGTCCCAGGAGGCAGCTCCTTCCCGCCCAAGCACGAGCCAAGGCCGACCTTAACAACCGGGAGTCTCAGAAGGCCCCACTTCCGGGCTCGCCTGCTTCGCCCGCCCCTGAGCCCAGGCGGGCCAGTCCATTGCGGGTCTCACCGCCACCCACCCTTCCCCCGAAGTCCAGCGGCCCTGGGTCGGACCCTGCGGGAGGACCCCACCGCCCGCGGCTGAGCGTCGCGGCCCCGCCCCCTCAGTGCGAGTGCGCGGCGCCGCCCCTCTGCTCCGCGCACCCCACGCGGAAATGGTTCAACCGAAGGGGCGGGGCTGGGTTGCCGCGGCCCTTAGGATTGGCCAGGGCGAGCCGTACCACGGTGGTGGCGGGGGTAGCGAGCCGTGAGCTGCCGGCGGCGGGCTCGGAGGCTGTGAGTGTCCCAATCTGAGGCCCAGGTTCCGTGCCGCGCTGCGCTGTGCCAGGCCGCCGCCGGGATGCAGTGGGCCGTGGGCCGGCGGTGGGCGTGGGCCGCGCTGCTTCTGGTTGTCGTGGCGGTGCTGACCCAGATCCTCTGGCTCTGGCTGGGTACGCAGAACTTCGTCTTCCAGCGTGAAGAGATCGCGCAGCTGGCGCGGCAGTACGCGGGTAAGCGGGCACAGGGCGGGAGCGGGCAGCCGGCCCAGGATCGGAGCCAGGGATTCCAAGGACGCTGTCCCCAAACCTGGGACCCGAGCTGGCCCTGATACCGCCGCCGCTCCTCTGTTTCCGCCAGGGCTGGACCACGAGCTGGCATTTTCTCGGCTGATTGTCGAACTGCGGCGGCTGCACCCAGGACACGTGCTGCCCGACGAGGAGCTGCAGTGGGTGTTCGTGAACGCGGGCGGCTGGATGGGCGCCATGTGCCTTCTGCACGCCTCGCTGTCCGAGTACGTGCTGCTCTTCGGCACCGCCCTGGGCTCCCGCGGCCACTCGGGTCAGTGTTAGCGGTGGGCCGGACTGGGAGGCTGGGGCTGCGCAAGGGCCAGTGTCCTCCTTTCTGATCTTGGGCTGAGCCATGTATGTGATGGTGCGGATGCCCTGATGGTTGGTGTCCATCTGTCTGTCACTTAGGGCGCTACTGGGCTGAGATCTCCGACACCATCATCTCTGGCACCTTCCACCAATGGAGAGAGGGCACCACCAAAAGCGAAGTCTTCTACCCAGGTGAGTAGGGAAGGTGAGTGCCCTCACACTGAAAGCGCCCACAGCTGGGAGAGCGAGCAATGGCGTTGAAGAGGGGGTGCTTTGAGGACCACTGCCCCACAAAGCCACAGGTGGTTGGTTGGCCAGAGCTGAGAGACCCTGTTGCTTTCCTCTGTTAACAGGAAGCAAAACATAACAACTTCCTGTTAATAAGTCTGATTTATTTTTGTCTATCTGGACACTTTTTAAAAAAAGATTTATTTATTTTATTTGAAAGAGTTACACACAGAGAGAAGGAGAGGCAGAGAGAGAGTCTTCCATCTGCTGGTTCACTCCCCAACTGGCCACAACAGCCAGGTCTGCGCTGATCCAAAGCCAGGAGCCAGGAGCCTCCTCCCGGTCTCCCACGTGGGTGCAGGGGCCCAAGCACCTGGGCTGCCCTCCACTGCTTTCCCAGGCCATAGCAGAGAGCTGGATTGGAAGTGAAGCAGCCAGTACTCGAACCAGTGCCCATATGGGATGCCAGCACTGCAGGCGGCAGTTTTACCCGCCATGCCACAGCGCCGGCCCCGAACACTGTTTTATCCAGCCAATACCCCAACAAATGTTGGGGAGACAGCTGGGTAATTAGAAAAGCTCTCTCTCATACCTAAAAGACAAGACAATCATCTTCCTCTCCATTTCTTTTTTAAATAGTGAAACAACTTATATTAAAAGTAGAGCTTTGGATTTCCAAGCAGGTTTGAGGTGGAGGATGAGCATGGCAAGTATTGTGACTGAACAGCTTGGAAAGCCTCACAAGTCCTGTAACCGCACGCTCCCTCTCTAACAAGTCCAGCCCAAGTTTAGCTAACTTTCTACTTGAATTGAATGAGGCTTGGGATTGCAGACTTCTTTAAAAAAAATAATTAACTTTTTTAAAAAATATTTATTTATTTGAAAGGCATAGTTACAGAGAGGCAGAGAGTGAGAGGGAGAGGTCTTCCATCCAGTGGTTCACTCCTCAGTTGGCCACAAAGGCCAGAGCTGGACTGATCTGAAGCTAGGAGCTAGAAGCTTCTTCTAGGTCTCCTACCCTGCTCTCACCTGTGCAGGGGCCCAAGCACTTGGGCCATCTTCTACTGCCTTCCCAGGCCATAGCAGAGAGCTGGATTGGAAGTGGAGCAGCCGGGACTCGAACTGGTGCCCACATGGGATGCCAGCCTGCAGGCAGCAGCGTTACCCGCTCTGCCACAGCACCAGCCCAGGGATTGCAGACTTCACCGACTTGCATAGAAAGTCCTGTGGCCAGGTGAGGTGGCTCTGTATGGCTTCCCCTTGGAGATGCCACAGAAGAACATTTAGGAATGGCCATCTGGGCTCCTGACCCCTCTCATGGGACACCCGACCAGCAAGGTAGAGCTTTTCCCTTTCTTGAAGCTCTCTCTCCATTCCTGATTCCTCACTGGTCCATGGGCCAGGGAAACTGCAGCAGTGGAAGGACTGGGCTCCTCACATGGGTATTCCTTGTCCCCCAGGGGAGACGGTGGTGCACGGGCCTGGCGAAGCAACGGCTGTGGAGTGGGGGCCAAACACGTGGATGGTGGAGTACGGCCGCGGTGTCATCCCATCCACCCTGGCATTCGCACTGGCTGATACTGTCTTCAGCACTCAGGACTTCTTCACCCTCTTCTATACTCTTCGCTCCTATGCCCGGTGCCTCCGGCTCGAACTTACCACCTACCTCTTCGGCCAGGACGCTTGACCAGCCATGCCAGAAAGAAGACCTGTGGATGGACAGGAGCGGGCAGGCCCGCACACATCCACTTCCTGGAGCCCACGTGCAGATAGGGACATGCTTACAGCACGCAGGTGCTGAGTCCCTGCTGTACGGATAGGGACATACGTGCTTACATATCCAAACACGGACGTGTGGGAACAAGTGGGACATATACAGAGATACCAAGTCCTGTGCACACTGCAGGCTCATGCACTCACACCCATTCAGAGAGGGAGCCCCACATATACCAAGTGGGCTAGTCACGTTCAGATGCACCTGTCACAAGCTTGGCTCATGAACTCAGGCCTTTCCAGAGCGTGCCGTCCCCATTCCGGGCTCTGGGGTTAAGGACGGGGTGGGGATTGCACCCTGCCTCAGTCTGACTCCTCAGCCCAGCAGCAGCTTGGGGCCGTGGGGGGGAAGAGGAGCTGCCCTTTGGAGGCCCCTTCACCGCAGCGATGATGCCCTTCCCCTCATTTCCTGTCCTCTCACCATATGCCTTATCCGCATTCGATTCCCTGCTATGCAAGTGCCCCCACCCCTCAACAAACAGGTCAGCTGGGGAAACAGAGGAAGGTGGAGAATGCCCTCCATCCCAGAAGACCCCCACTCCTCTCTTGTGGGCCCACCCCTGAGGAGGGGACCTGGAGAGGTGGGCCTGGGTCCTAGGGGCCACCCCTGGCCAACAGAAGGCCTTTTTCTGCACATGCGTACACATGGCCATCACTTTCCAGACACTGCCCCTGCTGTGTTCCCTATTCATCTGTCTGTCTCTGTTAATAAAGATGTCAAAGAGTTCCAATTCTCTGTGTGTCTGAACAGCAGGAAAAGCCGCTAACTCCTGGGGCCCTCCAGATGGCCTCTCCCTTACCGCACCACTCTGAGACTGCGGTTTTGGACTATCGTAGGGACTACGTACCTGAGCGTGCCTAAGAATCACCCTTAGGTAATGTAATGTGCAGCCTACGGATTCCCGTGCTCCCTCCCAGAGATCCGTTTCTGGGGTTGAGGCCTGAGACCAGCATCCCCTCCAACAGAGGTGGAATGCCACAGTTGGAGAAAATCAGGACTGGGTGAGGTGGGGTGTGTTTTAGCCTTGCCTCTGCCAGTGGCATTCTCGAAGGTCCTGAGAAGCCGGCCAGAGATGGCCCTGGCTGGCCACAGGGTGGCGGTGTATGCCCACCGCAGAGCTGAAAGAGGGCCTGCTCTGCTTTTTTCTGGGTTCCCGCAGTGAGTTGTTGCCCACCACCAGAGTAGCCCTCCATGCTACATTCTGCCTTCTCCAGGACCCTCCACTTCTGTGGGGACTCCTGGGGTGGAAAACAGGCTCTCCACCTGGCAGAGTGTGAGGCATGTAGGGCCAGGACTAGGGCAAGACAGGATGGGCCGAGGCGCGTTCGTCCCCAAGGATCCTGCTCTTGCCATCTTAACTTTTTGGCCTGAGGTATCAGGCTTGCCTCATCCTCATCGTAACTCTCCTTGGTGATTGAAAAAGGCACAAGCCACCTCCACTTCATTTTGTTTTTATAAAGATTTATTTGACAGAGTTACAGATATATATATATATATACACACATACACACATATATATATATACACACACACACACACACAGAGAGACATATCTTCCATTTGCTGGTTCATTCCCCAGCACCCACAGCTGCTTGGGCTGAGCCAGGCTGGAGCCAAGAGCCAGGAGCTTCTTCTGGGTCTCCCATGTGGGTGGCATGGCCCAAATACTTAGGCCATCCTCCACTGCTTTCCTGGGCCATTAGCAGGGAGCTGTATCAGAAGTGAAGCAGCTGAGACAGGAACTGTCTCATATGGGGGACATATGGGATGCTGCTGTCACAGGCGGTGGCCTTACCTGCTATGTCACAATGTTGGCTCTGCTTCTGCTTCTTAGAGTTTCCAGAATACTGCAAATGGAAGAAACACCATTATAAGAATTGTGTATTTTTAAAACTTATCAAATAAACACGAATGAAAAATACTGTACATGTAAGTGAACGAATGTGAAGCCCAAGAAAATTGGTCATCTCAGTCCCACCACCACCACCACAGTGTTGGCCATGACAGGCCCTGGCTAGGGATATGGGCCTCTCTGTGCTCCCAGGTTTTAAGCCCCGCCTCCTGGGAAGTGCTCCCCCATCCTGAACCTGACTCTGCCTCTGCTCTCAGAGTGCTGATCTGTCAGGGATTCCCCCACCACCACCACTGCCGCTCTTCCACAGGGGACTAGTTCCCGGATTCCACCTGTTGCTAAGTCCAGCGTGCATTTGATAGTTCTCAACTTTGATTTGAAACAGGAAATCACTTCTTAATTTTTTGTTTTGCAAGACAGAGACAGAGAGTTCCCATCTGCTGATTCACTCCCCAGCTACCACAGCGGGGGTCAGGCTGATCGGAAGCCTAGAGTCAGGAACTCATCCCCTGCTGCCTCCCAGGGTCTGCATGAGCAGGGGCAGAGCTGGGGATCAAACCCAGGCAGTGCGATGTGGGATGCAGGCAGCTTAACCACCAGGCCAAATGCCCATCCTGTAACCACCCTTAAAACACCTCGGGCTTCTGAGGCACTACTCTTCCTTCCTCTGAATTCCCAGAACTTAGTTCTCAAACCTCTGTTTACACCCTTTCTTAGGTGATCTCAGTTATTTCTTTAAATACCACTTATATAATTTATCCATTTATTTTGCCCTTTTATTTTATTTTTTTGACAGGCAGAGTTAGACAGTGAGAGAGAGACAGAGAGAAAGGTCTTCCTTTTCCATTGGTTCACCCCCCCCCCCACATGGCCACCACAGCTGGCGCACTGCGCCGATCCAAAGCCAGGAGCCAGGTGCCTCCTCCTGGTCCCCCATGCGGGTGCAGGGCCCAAGCACTTAGGCCATCCTCTACTGCACTCCCAGGCCACAGCAGAGAGCTGGACCGGAAGAGGAGCAACCGGGACAGAATCCGGCGCCCCAACTGGGACTAGAACCCGGAGTGCCAGCGCTGCAGGCGGAGGATTAGCCTAGTGAGCCTTGGCACCAGCCTATCCATTTATTTTGAAAGGCAGAGTTACAGAATGAGGGGAATAGGCAGAGAGAGAAAGAGAGTGATCTCACTTTCAGGGTTCACTCCCCAAATGACAGGAGCTGGGCTAGGCCAAAGCCAGCAACCTTTAGAATTCCATCTGGATCTCCCATGTGGGTGGCATGGACCCAAGTACGTGGGCCATCCTCCAGTGTTTTCCCAGACACATTAGCAGGGAGCTGGATCAGAAGTGGAGCAGTTGAGACTTGAACCAGCACTCATATGAGACGCAAGTGTTGCAGACAGAGGTTTAGCCCACTGTTGCACAACACTGGCCCTACCTATCTTTTCTTAATATTGATATTCTTTGAGGCAGAGTGACCGGGAGAGTGGGATGGACAGAGAGAAATCTTCCAACTGCTGGTTCACTCTCCAAATGCCTTCAACAGCCAGGGCTGGGCCAGGCTGAAGCCAGGAGTCAGGAGCCAGGAATCCCATCCAGTTCTCCACATGGCTGGCAGGGGCCCAAGCACTTGGATCATCTTCTCTTGCCTCCCAGTAACATTAGCAGGGAGCTGGATGGATCAGAAGCAGAGAAGGTGAGACTCAAACTGGCACTCTGGGTCAGCTTTGTGGCTCAGCGGATTAAGCAGCTTCTTGTGACATCAGCATCCCATACCCAAATGCATGTTCAAGTCCCCATTACTCTGCATCTGATGTAGCTCCCTGATAATGTCCTTGAAAGGCAATGGAAGATGGTCCAGGTGTTTCAGTCCCTGCCACCCATGTGAGAGACCAGGATGAAGTCCCTGACCCCTTGCTTCGACCTGGCCCAGACTTGGCTATAGCAGTCATTTAGGGAATGAGATAGCAGATGGAAGGTACCCCTCCTCCCTCCCTCCCTACCTCCCTCCCTCTCTCTCCCTCTCTCTCTCCCTTCCACCCCACTCCCAACAGTCTTCATTGTTTCATTAAGGGCACCTCCACTCACCCAGCCGCCCAGGCCAGAGACCTTGCATCCTCTTGTACACCTCTCATTCTTGCACATCCCATATCCCTTCCGGCAACAAATTCTGTCACTTTGATCTTCAGAACATCCAGAATTAAATCTCTTCATGCCACCTCTACTGCCACCATCTGTTGCCCGCACTGCTGCAACTGAGCTCACATTTGCATCCTGTAGGGAGGGATTTGCATGCAGCAGCCTGGGCCTTTCACTCTCTGCTGAGACATTTCCATTTTCCATCTCATTCTGTCCTTAAACTCCTTCTAAGGACACACTCCAAGGCTGCTCCAAACATCTGACTGCTCATCACCCTACTCCAACCCAGGGACCTCCTTGCTTTTCTTCCCCATCAACCAAACTTCTATCCCAGGATATTTGCACCTGCTATTCTCTTGACTGTAATGCTCTTCTCTAGGTATCTACACAGCTCTCTTCCTCTCCGCTCCCTTCAATTCCCGCTGAGTGAGTCCTTCCCTTAACACAAGTAATAGCATCCCTGCTGTGTTGGTTTTAAAATACCTCCACACAATTTTTGATACTCCTGGGGTGGGCATTGTGGCACAGTGGGTAAAGCCACCACCTGCAATGCCAGCATCCTATATAGGTGCCAATTCAAGTCCCGGCAGCTACACTTCCAATCCAGCTCCCTGCTAATAGACTGGAAAAAGCAGAAGATGATCTAACTGTTTGGGCCCCTGATGCCCACATGGGGGGCCAGGATGAAGCTCCTGGCCTGACCCAGCACTGGCCATTGTGGCCAGCTGGGGAGTGAACCAGCAGAGGGGAGATCTCTCTGTGTCTTCTTCTCTCTCTGTAACTCTAAGAGAGGGGGGGGGGTCTTCCAACCACTGGCTCCTTCCCCAAACAGCCACAATGGCCAGGGCTGGGCTAGTCTGAAGCCAGGAGGCAGAAGCCAGGAGCCTGGAGCCGCTTCCAGGTCTCCCACATGGCTGCAGGGGCCTGAGGAATTGGGCCATCCTCCACTGCCCTCCCAGGTGTAATAGCAGGGAGGTGAATCGGAAGTGGAGCTGCTGGGACTCAAACCAGTGCCCACATGGGATGCCAGCACTGCAAGTGGAGGCCCAACCCTCCACACCACAGCCCCTTAAATAAATATTTTAAAAAACTTTTTTTCTTTGACAGGCAAAGTGGACAGTGAGAGAGAGAGACAGAGAGAAAGGTCTTCCTTGTCTGTTGGTTCACCCTCCCCAGTGGCCGCCAAGGCCGGCGCACTATGGCTGGGGCATCATGCTGATCCAAAGCCAGGAGCCAGGTGTTTCTCCTGGTCTCCCATTCAGGTACAGGGCCCAAGGACTTGGGCCATCCTCCACTGCACTCCCGGGCCATAGCAGAGAGCTGGCCTGGAAGAGGGGCAACCGGGACAGGATCCGGTGCCCCGACCAGGACTAGAACCCAGTGTGCTGGTGCCGCAGGCGGAGGATTAGCCTATTGAGCCACGGCGCCAGCCAAAACTTTTTTTCAATACTCCTCCCTTTAAGAAGTGAACCTTAATTTTCTTCCCCTTGAGTGTGAGCCAGGCCTAGTTACATACTTTAACAAACAGTATGTGGCAGAAGTGACAGTTGGTGACTTCTAGGACCAGACCATAAAAAGTATTGCCTTGGAGCCAGCACTGTGGTGTAGTGGCTAAAGCCACCACCTGCAGTGCCACCATCTCATATGGGTGCCAGTTCTAGTCCCAGCTGCTCCACTTCCCATCCAACTCTCTGCAACAGCCTGGGAAAGCAGCAAAAGATGGCCTAAATCCTTGGGCCTCTGCACCTGTGTGGGAGACCCAGTGGAAGCTCCTGGCTCCTGGTGCCTTGGCTTCACATTTGCCCAGTTCTAGCTCTTGCAGCCATTTGTGGAGTGAACCAGCAGATGGAAGACCTCTCTCTCTCTCTCTCTCTCTCTCTCTGCCTCTGTAACTCTGCCTTTCAAATAAATAAATAAAGCTTTAAAAAGAAAAAAAAGGACCAGGGTATAATTTCATAGACCTAATAAAAGTAATACTAAAAAAAAAAAAAAAAAAGCATTGCCTCGGGGCTGGCATTGTGGCATGGCAGGTTAAGCTGTCACCAGCATCCCATATGGATGCTGGTTCAAGTCCTACCTGCTCTACTTCCCATTCTATTCCCTGCTAATGCACCTGGAAAAGCAACAGAGGATGTTCCAAGTGCTTGGATGCCTGCACCTATGTGGGAGACCCAGAAGAAGTTATTGGCTTTTGACTTTGGCCTGGCCCAGCCCCAGCTGCTGTAGCCATTTAGGGAGTGAACCAGCAGATGGAAGACCTTTATCTCTGTCTCTGTCTCTCTGTATCTCTGTAAGTCTACCTCTCAAATAAATTAAATATTTTTATTCATTATTTATTTGAAAGTCGGAGTTACACAAAAGGAAAGGCAGAGATAGATAGATAGATAGATAGACAGACAGACAGACAGACAGAGACAGAGAGGTCTCCTATCCACTGATTCACTCCCCAATTGGCTGCAATGGCCAGAGCTGTGCTGATCCACAGCCAGGAGCCAGGAGCTTCTTCTGGGTCTCCCATGTGGGTGTGCGGGCCCAAGGACTTGGGCCATCTTCTACTGCTTTCTCAGGCCATATCTGAGAGCTGGATCGGAAGTGGAGCAGCAAGGACTCAAACAGGTGCCCATATGGGATGCCAGCACTGCAGGTGGCAGCTTTATCCACTATGCCACAGCGCAGGCCCCTAATTAAATCTTAAAATTGCCTTAGGGGCTGGTGCTGTGGTGTAATGGGTTAAGCCGCCACCTGCAGTGCCAGCATCCCATTGGGCACTGACTTGAGTCCCAGCTTCTCCACTTCCAAACCAGCTCCCTGCTAATGTGCTAGGGAAAGCAGCAAAGGATGGCCCAAGTGCTTGGGCCCTAGCACCTGCGTGGGAGACCTGAAAGAAGCTCCCGGCTCCTGGGTTCAGATAGGCCCAGCTCTGGCCAATGTGGCCATTTGGGGAGTGAACCAGCAGATGGAAGACCTCTCTCTGTGTCTATCCCTCTCTCTGTCTGTAACTCTACCTCCCAAATAAATAAATAAATCTTTTTTTTTTTAAGCATTGCCTCATAAGTCCCTCTTTCTAGATCGCCTGCCCTGTTGGGAAGCTCACAGGCAGTCCTGTGGAGACGCCCAGTGGGGAGACCTGTGCGGGGAGCAGCAGCTTCTTGCCAGTAGCCATGTGAGGAGCTCACAGACCACTGTGGTCCTGCTGACTCTTTTACTGCAACTCACAAGAGACAATGAATCAGAACCACCCAGCTATGCCACTCTTGAGTTTTGGATGTGCAGCATTATGAGAAAATAAACATTTGGTGTTTTGGGGGGCGCGGTAGGTGTGTGTCCTTAGTGATTCTTTTTTATGTTTTTTTTTTTTTCTATCTACTTGAAAGGCAGAGGAGCTGGCATCGTGGCACAGTGAATTAAGCCCTGTCTGTGACACTGGTGTGCCACATGAGCACCAGTTCAAGGCCTGGGTACTCCACTTCCAATCTAGCTCCCTGCTAATGTGCCTGGGAAAGCAGTAGAAGATAGTCCCAAGGGCTTGGGCCCCTGCATCCACATGGGAAACCCAGATGGAGTTCCAGACTGTTGGCTTTGGCCTGGCCCAGCCCCAGCCATCATGGCTATCTGGGGAGTGAACCAATGAATTAAAGATTTATCTCTCTTTCACTCATTCTCTCTTGCTCTCGCTCCCCCCGCCCCAACTCTGGCTTTGAAATAAATTCAAGCAATGGAGCCAGGACTTGAACACTGGCACTCTCTGATATAATATGTGGGCATCCCCAGCACCATTTTAAGTACCCATGCCAGGTATGACTCCCTACAGACACCTGCTATTCCCTCACCCCCTCAGCATCACCTTAGGGTAGGTCTTGTGGCTTTGGTAGAAGGCCCTCTTGGGTACAGAAAGAAACTGGGGAAGGAAGAAGGGACCTGAGAGGAGCAACACCCAGGCGGCTCAGAGTAGAAGCTGTAGCTTGTCATTCAAGATCCCCCAAATACGGAACATCTGGAGGATGGTTGGGGGGGGGTAATAGCAAATGGCTGAGGGGATTTGGAAACACAGACTTGGGCATCGGGGAAGTGGGGAAGGTGTGTGAAGCTGGGCAAAATGCAAACCATTGTTGAAACAAGTGGAGATGAGTATCAGAGGTCTCCTATGCCTGAACTAGCCATACTCCCTGTGTATATGTTTGAAAATGTCCCTAATGAGATAGCCAGAGGTCGAAACCCTGTGTGCCTGTGCATCTGCACACCGTGCCCGGCCTGCGGTGGGTGAGCAGTCAACTCGGAGACCTCTGAGGTGTGAGTTCGTGGATGTGAGCCCATGGCCATGCGCAGCCTGTGGGCCGGGCAGGGGAAGCTTCAGTTCTTCACACTTAGCCCACGCCCTGCATGGATTCCCCTCGTGGGCACAGCCTGCTGAGTCTGTGACACTGGGGATGTCTCTCGTGACAGGTGTGCTGGTGTGTGACCGCCGCTGCTTGTGTGAGAATACCCAATACTGAATGTGAGTGTAAGGGGCACGGCTTGGGATGCTGTGCGGTGCCCTGGTCCGGAGTCCGGCGGCAAGGACTTCTCACTCTTCGTTCGCGCGGTTCCCTTTAGCTCTCCAGCGCCCCGCCCCCGGATCGGGCAGAACAGAAGGTGGGAAACACCTGTTGGGGGCCTGAGAGCCGCGGAGCCCGCAGGGGCCTCTCCCGCCGTGCCCCGCCCGTCCTGCCGTCTCGGGTCCCGCCCCCGCGGCCGCAGCCAGCAGAGCGGCGAGTGAGCGCACGGCGGCCAGAGGAGCGCAAGGCGGCTGGAGCGCACGGCGGGGACCCCGCTCAGGGAATCGAGCCAAGGCAGCGGCTGCCCGGGAGGCGGGCGAAGAGGAGCGCCGTGGAGACGCCGGGGGCAGCGGGCCGCGCCAGGCAGGTGAGTGCTGCTGCAGGGTACCGGGAGCGAGAGAGCCGGGCGGCGCGACCCCGCCGCTCCTGCCCGTCCGGTGCCGTCCCCGTCCCAGGCTGTCTCTGTCGCCCGCTATTCTCGCGCCTCCCTGATTCTTGGCCTCGGCTTCTCTGCCCTGTCCCTCCGTCTGATTTTCCCTGCCCTTGTCTGTCCGTTTCCCTCTACTGTCTAGCCCTCCTTCTGAGCTCTCTGTCTCTGCTCCTGCTGCGACTGTCCCTCTCTCTCAACCCGTGTCTGTCTCTCTTGGCCTCTGTCTCTGTCTCTCTCCGAACTGCCCATCACTTAGGTTTTGATCTGTTGCTCCCCCCCACCCATCTCTCTACCCAGGATCTTTATCAGCCTCATTTTCCCCTTCTCCGTGTCTCCACCCTTGCATCTACCTGATACTGCTGTCTCTCTCCATCTTGGTTCCTCTCAGTCTCTGTCTCTCTCCACCTGTCTCTCCTTGTCGCTTTGCCTCATCTCCATCTCTATCTCCGATCTGTCCTTGTCCTAGCGTACATCTCTCTCTCTCTCTCCCCCACCCCCCACCCCTCAGTCATCTCTCTCTGTCTCTTGGTTCCTGTCACCCTCTCTGATCTGCTCAGTCTCTCTCTGTCCTCCATCAAGGGCGGATTCTGACTGACTGGGATCTGGCCTCCTCTTTCCTCTTCTTTCTACCTCTCTGTCTCTGCCCATCTCTGGAAAAGCTATCTTTCTGTCTCTTTTCTGATGACCCTCTGCACTTCCCTGCTTCCGTGACCCCCTCCGCTTGTGTTGGGGGTTGTGGATGCAGCAGCGGCCAGCACCCCCAATTCCCTCCCCTACAGGAGGCCCTCTCCTTGGGGCCCCGTCTGGTACCAGGACCCCCTCAGACAGGGGGACTGCGCCTGGAAGCTGTCATGGAGGCCCTGCAGAGGCAGCAGGCAGCTCGCCTGGCCCAGGGGGTGGGGCCACTGGCCCCTCCACGCCTGCCACTGCCACCACGGCCTCCCCTGCCTGGCCCCCGGACCCTGCAGGCTCCTGATGGGGCCTTGGGGGAGGTTGGGGCTGAGGAAGAGGAGGCCGAAGACGATGAAGAGGGAGAGGAAGCTGGGGCAGAGGAGGAGACAGCTGAGGAGACCCATCCAGGGACCCAGGACCCCAGCTCACCTTGCAGCCAGCCTCCTGGACCCCATCCCCATGAGTGGACCTATGAGGAACAGTTCAAGCAGGTAGGACCCCTCAATGTGAGCTCGTCCCCCTGCCCTCAGGAAATAAGCAGAGCTAAGCGACTGGCAGTCCACCCACCCTTACCACCCTCTGCCGGACGGAGAGAGATGGAGAAACAGAGACCCGCGGCCAGATAGTGGGGAGACTGGAGGGCAAATAGTGGCATGGAGAGAGGGAGAGAGGCAGCTGACGCCCAGAAGCATGGAGACTGACAGACTAGAGGCCATTTGTGGGGCCGGGAGGGAAGGAGAGAGGGGCGCGGGGGCCCTTGAGGGAGGGGGATCTGGAGCTGGGGATCCCAGTGAGACCTCTAGAGGTCGCCACTCCCTTGGCAGGCTGGTACACTCCTCTCTCCTGTCACATCGCTCCTCCCATCCAAACTTTCTCCTGGCCCAAATTCCATGGGTGAGGCCAGCCTGTGAAAGGTGCTGCAGCCCCACCATGACTAACGGGTCCCTGTGCAGCTGGGAGCGACAGTCCCTTATTCATAGGGCCTTAATTGCGGAACCCTTTGCGTCTTATACTAAGGACACTAATCTAGGCTGTCATATGGAGGTGTTACATTGGGCTGTGACTCCAGGTGGTGTTACTTGCAGGGTGTTGATCTTGGGTGTTTTCCAGAAGCATCAGTCTGTCTGGTACCCCATGGCATTCATGTAAGACAGTGTTACTCCGGGCTCTGTGCCTCTGGAGATGCAGCTCTGACAGCGTTTCTCCTGGTGTGTCTGGGGCTTATTACCTAGAGAACATGCGTGGCTTTGCAGGTCTCCATCTAGAACAGGGCTCAGTCGTTCTGGGGTGTGGCTTGTGGTGTTTTCGACTCTGACACTTCTTACTGGGAGATGGAGTGTCACCTATAGGAACTGTCCTAGTCAACGACTCCATTTCTTGAGGATTGTTCCTTTTGGGTGCTATTTGGGAGGTGACACTGGAGGTGAAGCTCCGGGTGACTAGAAGTGGGGGGGACGACAACCTGCAGGTCTGGTGTAGCACAGAACCAGTGCCTCTGTGGCGGCCTCTATGCTCAGCAGGGTAACTGCCTCCAGAGGAGGTTAGACCAGAAGTTGGGCCCAGTGCCGTAAGTTCTGAACATCTACCGTGCCCAAGGGATGGGCTAGAGACACCTCTGCCCCTCACCCACCCCAAGCCCTGGAACACAGGGATGTGGACAGCATGACGCCCTTGCATGAACGAGTGAGGGTGAATGAGTGCCCGGGGTATAGCCCATCTCCTCCGTGCAGAGCAGAGCCCCAGCTGGCTTCCTCCCTGGGGCTCTGAATATTTCCCCCATTCTGGGGGGAGGGGGAGGTAAAACTGAGTTCTCAAGAGCAGGCTGAGCCTCCCCAGCTTCTTCCTCTTCTTATCTTTGCCTGTTCCCCAGATGGGTGCTTTGAGCTGCCCAGCGCCTAGCCAGTGTGGGTCTCTTATATACATCAGAAAAAGGCACCCCTCTGTGACCCCAGGGGAGACAGCCTAATGCCAGAGAGTCCATGTTCAGAGCCCACATACCCTCCAGCCGGAGACTCTTGTTCAGGGTGCAACCTGAACCGGGCTCTCGGGGGAGCTGGAGAATGACTGCTGTCCCTCCCCAGCTGTATGAGCTCGATGCGGACCCCAAGAGGAAGGAGTTCCTGGACGACCTGTTTACCTTCATGCAGAAGAGAGGTGAGTGAGGCGATGTGGGGAAGACCCTGGCGTCACCCCCATACTCCAGATCTCAGGAAGTGGTACCCCAGGTTTAGTTCCCGGGTTGGGTCCTCCTGGCACAGGTCTGAGCTTGGTAGCACCTGTCCTCTGGGCCCTCAATAGCGTCTTTAACCTCTGACCCTGCCCCCTCTCTTCTGCCCTGGGATTAATTAGTGGCCAGCCCACTGGCAGGTTAATGTGTGTGGGATCAATTGGGAGGCTGGGAGGGGGAACTGGTTGGGAGTTGGTCTGGGGTGGGAGGCTTCTGGGACTGGAGGGCTGGGAACGTCTTGGTTTTCTTATTGTAGGCTCCTCCTCCAGCCTTGTCTCTCCTCAGTTTCCCCTTGCTTTAGGTAGGGGACTTCCTATGGGCTCTACAGCAGGAAGGGTGGGGATTAGACTGAAGGAGGGACTTCCCAAGGGGTAGGCTGGGGAAAGGGGGGGAGGCATTCCTTTCCAGGAATTTCAGAGCTGGAAGAGAATGCAAGAAGGGTCTAGGAGGGGTGGGCGGCAGTCCATCACTTCAGCTTCTCCCCAGATTCATGGGACTGAACACTGACTCATTATCTCTCTCTACAAAGCTAATTAACTCACTCAGAGCGCAGCCTGATAAGCTGCTAATTAACTAGCTGCACTGACCCCCTCCCCGCCCCCTTAGTGCTGGCCCAAGTATTCCACCCCCCACCCCAGACCCAGCATCTCTTCCTGGTCTCCTCCTTCCCGGGACCCTCAGTGGGGCCCATTGTCCTCTTGCTCCCCAGGAGGCACAGTCATCCTGGTGCCAGTGTCCCCTCTCTGCCTTTCCCTCCAGGCCTCCCCTTCCACTGACAGGGGTGGAGGAGTCTGGGTAGATCCCAGCACTGCCCACACCCCCAGCTCTGCTTCCCTTCCGTGCCTGCCTCCCTCCACTCCCGCTGCGGGGGGAGGGGGTCCCGCGGGGCCGATAATTTCCCCCCATTAATCAGGCCGCAGCTAATTGTTCGGGTCCAAAGGCGGCGGCGGAAGGGGACGGGATCGGTAAGGAATTAACTGGGTCCCATCGCTCAGTGCAGACAGGCCCCTTTGTCAGGACTGGCCGGCGGGGGCGGCGCGGGCGGCGCGGGCTGGCGCGCTGCGGGCCCAGGCAGGGGCTGATTCTTCTCCTGCCGCCATCCCCAGCCTCGAGCAGCCATCCAGGGTCTGCTGCTTAGGGGAGTCCAGCTGTTCAGCACTCTCCAGAAGTCCTTCCTACTCTCTACCCCAGGGGTCAGCAAACTAAGGCGGGGCCAAATCCAGACGCCTGGGAGATAAGAACGACCTCTACATTTTTAAATAGTTGAGGAGGGGAATTAAAAGATGAAACACATTTTCAGACATGTGAAATTAGAATTTCAGAGAGTTCCAATAAAGTTTTATTGGAACACTGTGGCACCCATCCCTTTATGCTCCATGGCTGCTTTTAGGCTACAATTGCAGAACTGAAGAGTTGTGACAGATCATTTGGCCTGTAAACCCTAAAATATTTACCATCGAGCCCTATACAGAAGTTTGCTGATCCCTGGTCAGCTCCCAGTCCTTCCTGATACTACAGAGGCCCCTTGGGAGGCTCGGTGGGCTCTACCTGTAATGCCACCCCACCATCCCTTTTGACTGCCTTGGTCCCTGGAGGCCCTGCCCTGTACCCAGGGCTCAGGCAGGCATCCAACTCCTTTGGTCGCTGGAGATGTCTCTAGACAGGGTCTCATCTTGGTGGCCTGACTCTCTGCCCACTCCCCACCAGGGACACCAGTGAATCGCGTGCCCATCATGGCCAAGCAGGTGCTGGACCTCTATGCACTGTTTCGCCTGGTGACGGCCAAGGGCGGACTGGTGGAAGTCATCAACCGAAAGGTGTGGCGGGAGGTCACCCGTGGCCTCAGTCTGCCCACCACCATCACCTCAGCCGCCTTCACTCTGCGCACCCAGTGAGGCCAGGGATGCAAGTGGAAGGGAAGGGGCATGCCGGGAGTGGAGGGGGGCGGGATGCGGAGGGCCAGGGTTGTGTCAGGGCATAGAACTTGATCGGTTGGGCCCAGCCTCCCACCCATCCCACCCCGGCTCACCTCCCCTCCCCTCCTAGGTACATGAAATATCTGTACCCATATGAATGCGAGACGCGGGCGCTCAGCTCCCCCGGAGAGCTCCAGGCCGCCATAGACAGCAACCGGCGCGAGGGCCGTCGCCAGGCCTATCCCACCACCCAGCTCTTCAGCTTTGCGGGGCCGCCCCCTCGGAGCACTCCTGGCTCTGTCCTGGGGGCTGGCCCTGCCGTGCCGGTGCCCCCATCTGGCCCCGCCCCTCTCCAGGGTTCCACCTCCAGCCTGCCAGTGCACGCGTGCGCCCAACTGAGCCCCAGTCCCATTAAGAAAGGTGCGAAGGGCAATGGGGCAGGGGTTTGGGGGTCTCTGAGTTCTATCCAAGCACTGAGATATAGGAAACATCAAAGAGGGACTCAGATTTGAGAGGCTTTTAGATATGGGAGCAGTAAGGTCTGATGGCGCTGTAAGGCTTGGGCATCGCTAAGGCATGGGAGTCCTGAGGTTGGAGAGGAGTAAATGCTTGAGAGCTCTCTGGAATGGGTTAACTGTGGTGTGAGCTAAGCTCAGGAAAAGGCCCCTCACAATCGCTGCTGCATTCCACACCTGTCGGCCCAGGGCTTCTATTTCTATGTCTTTTGTGCCTCCCACAACCTGTATCACGTAGCAACCAGGAACAAGAAACTCCCCCAAATTCTGAGGCTAACCTAGATGTAGAGTTCTCCAGCTTCAGAGCCACCAGGCCAAGGCTCTGGATGGGAAGAGAGGTTGAACTAGGTGTGTGAGCTTGGGTGGCATCTCTTGGTCCTGAGCCTGAGGGAAGAAACACAGGTGGATTGGGTCAGGGGAGCTGAATGACCTGTGCTTCCAGAGGACAGCGGAATTCCAACCCCTCATCTGGCACTTCCCATTGGCCTGGCCTTGGGACCTGCACGGGAGAAGTTGGCACCAGAGGAGCCCCCAGAGAAGAGAGCTGTGCTGATGGGGCCTGCAGACCCACCTCGGCCTGGAGCGCCCACCAGTTTCCTGCCGCGTGGCAAGGTTCCCCTGAGGGGTGAGGAGGGGCTTGTTGGTGAGGGGCTTTGGACCTGTACACTAAGGGAGGCAGCACCTGATGGTTGTTGGAGACGGGGCAGACAAGTCCCTCTCTGACAACTGGGATTAGCTGTGGGGCTGAAGCGGAGTGGGGGCTCTCCACAGGGAGGGAGGATTTCTAAGTCTGACTTTCCTGTCCCTTCCTGGACAGAAGAGCGGCTGGATGGGCCTCTCAGTCTGGCAGGCAGTGGCATCAGCAGTATCAACATGGCTCTAGAGATCAACGGGGTGGTCTACACTGGTATGGGTACTACAGAGCTGTCTACACTAGCATGGAGTATTGAGATTGGCATGGGGATTTTAGACTTTCCTTACTAGCATGAAGTCCAGGGATCTCTGAACGTGCATGGATAATGAGGGGTTCACGGGATTGCTACATGGCATGGGTTAAAGCGGTATCTATATGGCATGGGTTCCAAGGCATGACCGCTCTGGCATGGGTACCATGGGATGTCTGCCTTGTCATGGACCTGTGTATCAGTGTAAATGTTTCTTGTTTAGCTGTCTGAAGGTATCTACGTCAGCACAGGAGTCTTGTGCCAAGGGGCTTGTTCTCGTTGGTCTGTGGCAGGGGTATATGTGTGGGGTTCTAGCAATCAGGGCACTTACTTTTCTCCCCTTTTCTGTTTCTGTGCCCCACTTCCTCCTGCTTGTGTTTGCCCTCTACCATTTCCTCATCCCTTTGCCAGGTGTCCTCTTTGCCCGCCGCCAGTCTGTGCCAGCTCCCCAGGGCCCAGCCAGTCCTGCACCCCCATCCTCTACAGGGCCTCCCTCCAGCTCCTTGCCCTGAGAACTCCTCCTCACAACTCGGAGTCCCAGCCCCAGTGCTGAAAGGGGAAGAGGCACCCCCTCCCCCATTTTGGTTCTTTCCAGACGCCTGATCTAGGACCCAGCTCTAGGAGGTGACCATACCCCACCTCCACGCCAAAGAGTTTTCTTTTGATGTTCTATCTACCTCATTACAGAAGGAGGGCACTTCCTCCCTGGCCACTTCCGGCAGCATCTACCAAAGAATTCTTGCCCCAGTACCCCCATCACCTCCTTATGTGCCCCCTGTATCAATGTCATCTCTAAGATTCCACCCACTTTGACCCAGCCCTGCTACTCTTCAGGAACCAGGTGACCGATTGTGTTGGGATGTTATGAAGGAAACATCCCAGGATCATATCTGGAAAATAAAGCCGTGGTCCTTCCCTCTCTAGTGCCTCTTTTTGTTTGGGTCTGGGAGGTCGGGAGGAATGAGGTACATGGGCAGCATGAGACCAAGGGACTCGTGTAGGGAAAGGCACAAAACATATGAGCTCCATCTCTTGATTCACACTGCTTGAGTTCAAATCCCAGTTCTTTCACTATAGTGCTGGGTGGCCTTGGGCACAAATCTTAAAGGGCTTCACATGGGCAGGTGGCACAGTAGGTTAAGCCCCCCAGTCTGGAGGCCTGCATCCATATCAGAACACCTGAGATGGAGCCCCACCTCTGCTTCCGGTTCAGCTCCCACCTAATGCACCTGGTGGGGGCAGATGACAGCTCAAGTGCTTCAGTCCCTGCCACCCATGTGGGAGACCCAGATGGAGTTCCTGGCTCCAGCTCTGCTGTTGTGAGCATTTGGGGAGTGAACCAGAAGATGAAAAATATCTCGCTCTCTCTTGCTCTTTCAAATAAAATAAATAAATAATATTTTCAAAAAGTTTATAGTGGGGCCAGCACTGTGGTGTAACAGGTAAAGTCGCCACCTGCAGTGCCGGCATCCCATACGGGCGCTGGTTCGACCCGGCTGCTCCACTTCTGATCCAGCTCTCTGCTATAGCCTGGGAAAGCAGTAGAAGATGGCCCAAGTCCTTGGACCCCTGCACCGGCATGGGAGACCCCAGGAGGCTCCTGGCTTCAGATGGCGCAGCTCAGTTGGGACCAACTGGGGAGTGAACCAGCGGATGGAAGACCTCTCTTTCTCTGTCTCTGTCTCTCCTTCTCTCTGTGTAACTCTGACTTTCAAATAAATAAATTTAAAAAAAAGTCTATAGTATTTCAGGGAGCTTCTGACTGAACTATGTATGAGAATGGGCCTATCCTGGAATAGCGGGTGTACTTCCACGTGCAACCACAGAGGATGGGATGGGGAAACTTTTTTTACTACCTTGGAACTATGAGAAAGGCAAAAGTCCTCTTGAGAACGGAGCTGGAAACCGGGGTGGAATGGGGACAGGTAGCCGTTGCCTAGGTAACCCGGCAGCGTTTGACACCACTCACCCACTCCTTCCGGTCGCTTCCGCACTAAAGGCCGAATAGTGGCGTCATTTCCGGCACGGAGGGCCGCCCTTGCACTCGGATTGGCCAGTCTTCCTGGTAGGACGGACGTCCCGCCCCCTGGCTGTGCCCCAGGTGAGGCGCGGCGGCGGCGGTGGAGATGGCGGCTCTGACGGATGTTCAGCGGCTGCAAGCCCGAGTAGAGGAGCTGGAGCGCTGGGTGTACGGGCCTGGCGGGGTGCGCGGCTCGCGGAAGGTGAGCGATCTGGTCCGGCGGTCCTTTTTTGGGGAAGAGCAAATGCAGTCCGCTGGCCCCGCTCCCGGGATAGATGCAACCGCTCCAGTCCCGTCGTCCGCAGCCCAGCTTTTGAAATAACAGAGGTCCTGGACCAGACCTCCTGGAGCAGATTGGGCCCTCGGAGTCCTTCTTCTGGGGGTCTGCAGGGGATTAGATCTGCTCCAGATGAACGCAGTGCCGTCTGTGATCGAGGCTCCGCCCCTGCTGGCACAGGCTCGTTGGGGAGAATCTGCCACACTCGAGAAGCTGACTAATGAGAGTTTCAGTAAGAGCTGAAGTCCACCAAATACCGTCCTGGAGCCCTGACTAATTAATTGCTAAGCGAATTGTTCAGAGAAAGGGCCAAGAGACCCCAGAGGGGTGGCTAAGGACAGCCAGAAGGGAGGAAAGGTCAGGTGCGGGAGGAGCAGGGATTGGATACAGGACGTTCAGCTGTGGGCCGGCACTGCGCCGCAACAGTGGCTGGATTTGACGGCTAGGAGGCTCAGGTGCCCTCTGATCCCTTTCCGCCGAGGGAAGACCTTTTCCTGAAGGTCTTCTGATGGAGTGGTAGGCCTATCATGGAGCCAAGTGCATCAGTGGCAGTGATGTCTGTTGGAACACTTCTGGTGCAATTACTTGTCCCTAGCATGGTTGCTCTCCCGTTTGAGAATCAATTTCTCAAAATATTCTTTCCCCTTTGATATCTATGACTCTAACTCCTAGCTGCCTCTCTGGCTGCCTGCTTCTCAGTCTTATTTAGCCCCCCCGTGTATCCAACTCTTGAATATTGGCATTCCTTGTCCTGGACCCTAAAACCTGGGTGAGCTCATTCACTTCCCTAGTCTCCCCCTATATTTGACCCTTTAATATTGGAATTCCTCATCTTCTACATTTAAATCCTCGATAGGCTTATTTGCTTCTTTTGGAGAGAGAGAGAGAGAGAGAGAGAGGTCTCCCATTTGCTGGGTGACTCCCCAAAAGCCTGCAATAGCTGGTACTGGGCCAGGCTGAAGTGGGATCTAGAAATTTAATCCAGGTCTCCCACTTGGGTAGCAGGGAAGCAACTACTTGAGCCATCACTGCTGCCTCCCAGAGTGTGCATTAGCAGGAAGCTGGAATGAGGAGCGGAGCCAGGCCTCAAGCCCTGGTGCCCAATATGGCGTGCAGGTGTTTCAGTGACACCGCAGCCACTAAGCCCAAGCCCACCCTCAGGTTTTTTTATTTCCTAGTTTCAGTCACTATTTACATGTCTTTATGTTTCTTTTCTTTCTTTTTTTTTTTTTTTAAGATTTGTTTATTTATTTGAAAGTCAGAGTTACACAGAGAGAGGAGAGGCAGAGAGAGCGAGAGAGAGCTTCCATCTGCTGGTTCATTACCCAATTGGCCACAACAGCCGGAGCTGCGCCGATCTGAAGCCAGGAGCCAGGAGCTTCTTCCGTGTCTCCTGCAGGGGCCCAAGGACTTGGGCCATCTTCTACTGCTTTTCCAGGCTATAACAGAGAGCTGGATCGGAAGAGGAGCAGCCGGGACTAGAACCGGCGCCCATATGGGATGCCGGTGCTTCAGGCCAGGGCGTTAACCAGCTGCGGCACAGCGCCGGCCCCTTTATGTTTCAAACCTATGTCTTTGATCCAGATTTCTATGCTGAGGCAGATTTGGATATCCAGTTGTCTCCTGGACTTTTTTTTTTTCTTTTTTTTCTTTTTTTTTTGACAGGCAGAGTGGACAGTGAGAGAGAGACAGACAGACAGAAAGGTCTTCCTTTGCTGTTGGTTCATCCTCCAATGGCCGCCGCGGCCGGCGCACCACGCTGATCCGAAGCCAGGAGCCAAGTGCTTCTCCTGGTCTCCCATGGGGTGCAGGGCCCAAGCACTTGGGCCATCCTCCACTGCACTCCCGGGCCACAGCAGAGAGCTGGCCTGGAAGAGGGGCAACCGGGACAGAATCTGGCGCCCCGACCGGGACTAGAACCTGGGTGCTGGCGCCGCGAGGCAGAGGATTAGCCTATTGAGCTGCAGCGCCGGATGTCTCCTGGACTTTTCCACTTGGTATCCAACAGGCATTTCAAACTCAACCTGTATGCTTTTAAAGGTACTCTTCTTCTCCCCTAACCTGATTCTCTTCTGCATTCTATAATACAAGTGTTGCACCATCATTAAGATCCTAAGGATTGGGGCTGGCTCTATGGCATAGTGGGTAAAGCTGTCGCCTGCACTGCCAGCATTCCATATGGGCTCCAGTTCAAGTCTTAGCTGCTCCACTTCCGATCCAGCTTTTTGCTATGGCCTGGGAAAGTGGTGGAGAAATGCCCAGGTCCTTGGGCCCCTGCACCTGCATGGGAGACCTGGAGAAAGCTCCTGGCTCCTGGCTTCATATCAGCACAGCTCGGGCCGTTGTGGCCAATTGGGGAGTGAACCAGCAGACGGAAGACCTCTCTCTCTCCCTGCCTCTCCTTCTCTGTGTAACTCTGGCTCTCAAGTAAATAAATAAATCTTAAAAAAAAAAAATCCTAAGGATCATCTTAAACTCTCCCATCTCCCACACTAGAATTGATGTGGATGGGATGGGGCTTTGAGGTGGGCCAAGCCAGTCTGGCAGCTGGGACAATCATCCATGAGGTCATGACAGCATGGGGAAAAATGCTTGCATTTCTCATGCCCAAATCCAGGACTTAGGAACCAGGGAGTATATATTGTATATGCTGGTGCCCCATAAACTGTAAAACAGTTTGTTATCTCCTTAATCAGACTTGAAACTCTAAGGAGTACATGATTCTCTCTCCCTTCACATTAAAGATCCCCTGAATGTGGGCTGCATCTCCCTTAATACAAGAGAAATCAAGAGAAGGGGATCAACCTAGATTACTGGGACTCAGAAATTCACGGGTCTGGAGGAATGAGTGTTCTTTACTCTCACAAGCCTTGAACCAGGTGGTTTACCTTGGAATTAATCTGTACTCCCCTTACAGGTGGCTGATGGCCTGGTCAAGGTGCAGGTGGCCTTGGGAAACATTGCCAGCAAGAGGGAGAGGGTGAAGATCCTGTACAAAAAGAGTAAGTGCTTCCATGGGGTGCTTCCTGGGACCTGACCCTGGCTCTTCAGTCCGGGAGGTCACTGGAGTAGCCCTCTGACAATAGAAGAGACGTAAGGACAAGTCCCTTCCTAAGCAGTGAGTTGGGATATGCTTTTCCACCTTGTCACTCAGCTCAAGCCTAAGTTCCAGGATGAGGGCTCTGCCTGAAAGCTCCACTTGGGAAAGGAGGGAAAGAAGGGTACGGGATTTCCCAAGGCAGGGTTAGAGGCGGAAAGATGTTGGACACTGAGATTTCCAGCCTTGGCTCAGCCAAACCTTTTTGATTACGTGAGAGCTGATAACGTGCTCAGTAACTAGATAAAGCTCTGGCTTTTCTCGGTAGCATCAACGCAGGAGTATACCTTTGCTGAGGATGGTCATTGGTAAAGCCGAAGGCTCCAGGGTGGTGGTAGCAATTATATTTTTAGCTCCAAAGTCTGAGACTGGCCAGCAAGTGATAAGCTTAGAGAGACAGGGAAGTGAGGGTAGGGTTTGGGGAGGTCCGCTGATGGGGTACAGCTGATGGTGTCAGCTGCTCATTCAAAGATGTCCCAGGGTTGACCACTCCCCAGACATCCTTCATAACATTGAGCTCCACTCTCCAACCCTGTTCGGTCCATTCTCCATCTTGCTACTTTTCTAGTTGAAGACCTGATCAAGTACCTGGATCCTGAGTACATTGACCGCATTGCTATCCCTGATGCCTCTAAGCTGCAGTTCATCTTGGCAGGTAATGCTGGACTGTGTGTGTGCACGTGCAACTGAGGACGTGGGCTGTTGGAGACCTTGAGCACAGAGATGGCCTCGCCAGCCAGTCTGTTCGTGGATCCAACCCTGAAAACTAATGCCTGGACTTCTGGCCTGGCTCTGGGCTACGGCTGGAGGTGACCCTGTAGGTTCTCCAGTAGCTTTGGGTACAGTATAATTTGGGCCAACTGCAGGCCGTGGTGCCAGCCACAGTAGGAACTACTCCAGTGTTCTTATCAATGGCCAGCCTTAGGATATTCTTTTAGAACCTTCTTTATATCTGCTCACTGGACAGAGGGGCTTCTAGGAAAGAGGAGGCAGAGAGCTTTGTCATATGGGAGAATATTGGGTTGAGTTTGAAGTTCTTTCATGTGAGAAATCTCTAGGATTTCAGAGTTCTAGGTAGGAACTATTATTGCCTTGGAAATAACTGCTCATCCGTTAGTCAGCTAGTCCACAGGCTAGGATTTTCTGAGCACCTGTATTTGTTCGTTCATCTAAAAGATAGTCACAGATCAGCTACCATGATTCAGGCTCTGTCCTAGGAGTGAGGAATACAATGGTGAATTGGAAAGTCCTTGCCCTGATAGGCACAACCAGAGCTAGAGGAATCAGAATCGCTGCTTCAGGGACCTGAGCTTATAACCCAGCTGGAAGCTCCACTTCCCAGGAGACTGATCAGTACAGTGTGGCACTGCAGAATGGGTGAGGAGGGACAGCTCCTGCTTACAGGAGCTATCAGAGCTCCACAGGGCTCCTGATTAATTGACATGGCTTTGGGCCCAGCATAGTGATGCAGTGGGTTAAGCCACCACTTGTGACACGGCATCCCATATCAGAATGCCAATTCGAGTTAATGTGCTTGAGAACACAGTGGCTGATGGCCTGAGCACTTGGGCCACCTTCCGCTGCT